GTTAGATAATTGATTACCAGTTTTTCTTGTTTTTTGAGGTAGGCCTTTTACACTGATTTTTAGAGAGAGGGAGGAAGGAAGAGGGAGAGAGAGAGAGAGAGAGAGAGAGAGAGAGAGAGAGAGAGACTGCTCCCACTGGGACTGGGGATTGAACCTGCAACCCACATAGATGCTGTTAACCAGGAATCAAACCCAAGACCCTTTGATGCACAGGCTGGTGCTCTAACTACTGAAACACACTGTCCAGGTCTAAATATTAACTCTTTTAATTTTTATAGCAATTCTATGAGATAATTAACATTATTACCTCCAGGGAACTGAGGTTAAGTAACTTGCCCAAGGTCATACATCTGGTAAGTGATGGAGCCAGAATTCAAATTTAAGCTCCAGGTTCAGGATTAGGGTAAAGAACGCAATGTGAGCAATGTAAGTGCAAGGTCAGATCCATTCTTTAAACATTTTGGGTCAAGGTGGTCAAAAGGTACAAACTTACAGCTGTAAAATAAATAGATCATGGGAGGTAATGCACAGTACAGTGACTATAGTTGATAACACTGTATTGTATATTTGAAAGTTACTAAGAGAGTAGATCTTTTTTTTTTTTTTATATATTTTATTGATTTTTTACAGAGAGGAAGGGAGAGTGATAGAGAGTTAGAAACATCGATGAGAGAGAAACATCGATCAGCTGCCTCCTGCACATCCCCCATTGGGGAAGTGCCTGCAACCCAGGTACATGCCCTTGACCGGAATCGAACCTGGGACCTTTCAGTCCGCAGGCCGACGCTCTATCCGCTGAGCCAAACCGGCTTTGGCAAGAGAGTAGATCTTAAATGTTCTCATCACAAGAAAAAAAAAATCAGTTAAAAAAAAAAAAATAGAAACCCCATAAAAACCATTTTGATATTTTGCTCATCCTGCACATTTTTGGGCAATAATTTATCGACTTTTTAAAATATTACACTAGCCTTAGCTGGTTTGGCTCAGTGGATAGAGCATTGGCCTGTAGACCAAAGGGTCCCGGGTTTGATTCCATTCAGGAGCAGGTACTTTGGTTGCAGGTTCCTCCCTGGCTTGGTCCCTGGTCAGGGCTCCTGCAGGTGGCAACCAATCAATGTTTCTCTCACATCGATGTTTCTCTCTGCGTTTTCCTCTCTTTCACTTTCCCTAAAAATCAATGGAAAAATATCCTTGGGTGAGGATAAATAAATAAATAAATAAAAATATTACACTAGAATATTATTTTACTTGATCACTGAGTTTTGGGGTGCCCCCTTGCTTTTGCACCTGAGTGTCACTCACCTCACCCTGCTAGGTTGGCTAGCTTTAGAATCTAATCTTTTGGCCTCTGAGTCATACAAGCCCTTACCCTGGAAAAATGGGGAAAATCCAAATTCTTCCAGTCCTAGAGAGGAGATAGAGATGAGGTAGGGGAAATTGGTGCTAAAACGGGGCGTTCAGATGCCCCCTCTCCTGGCTGAAATCCAAGAAGTGGGAGGCATGATATTTGTTAAGGGAGAGGGGCTGTAGCTAAGGGGCCTTTGTCTCCTTCCGGTTGAGAACCCTGCAAAAGAGAACACCAAGGGGCATAGCTCTCTGGCCAGTGGGAATATTCACAGCAAAGGAGGCATGAAGGAGCGCCAAGTTGGCACCTCCAAGCTATTCTCACTTCTCAGGAGCGTGGGTGGGTGTGAATGGTTCTGAGTGGCCCTTGGGCAGAGCGAAAGGCAGCCAAAAATAAGCCCTGTGGGCTTGAGGCTTCCCTCGGGAGGAAAGTGATCTTACTTCCTGTGTTCAGAGAGCTTCCCAGGGCTTCTCCCCTCAGTTCCCTCCCCGGACACCTCTGACTTCTCAGAAGTAGTCAAGAGACAGTGAAGGGATGTCGTTGACCAGGGAGAGAAAAGTCACTTCATCCCTTCTCTGCAGCCTCTTGAATAAAAGGCTCGGCCAGTTCTGCTTTCAGAACCTCCACCCTTCACAGAACTACACGGTGTAGAGAATTATTGATCGATGGAGCAGCCCAGGGGCATCGACCCTATCATACAAAACTGGGAAAACCCAGGCTGTGGTTCTTGTCAAATGTGTCATAAAAGGAGACACCTGCTAGGTGTTTGGCCAGAGCTTTCATCTTGACTAACAAATGATTCGGGGGTTTTTCCCGTCTTTGTTACTACAGATTACACCCCTTGAATGTTTATGTTGTGACATCTGTGTTTATGACAACATGCAAGTGCACTAATAAAATAAATTTGAAGTAAAATTGCTGGGTGGAAGGTGATGTATATTTTGGTATCTTGATTGATTTCCCCAAACTGTGCCTCCAAATGGATCCATTTCAAATCTCAGCCTCCAATTCTCTTTTCAATTCTCTGAATAAGAATGAGACTGTGTTCCAATGCATTTGCATTGCTTTTTATAACCTGGCTGCCCATATTTGTTTTGTTTTTCTAAGGGATATTAACCACTTCTTCATGGCTTAATTTCTAAGTTATGTTCTGGTAAATCTTAAGGAAATCAGTCTTGGCTGATCGTGGCTCTATTTTTAGCTTCTGTTGGCAGAGGCAATCCTTGGCATTCCTTGACTTGTAGATGCATCTCTCCAATCTCTGCCTCGATGTCAGATGGCCATCTGCCTCTGTCTCAGTGTATCCTCTCCTTTTCCTATAAAGACACCAATCATTGGATTTAGGACCCACCCTAATGCATTATGACCTCATCTTGGCCTAATTACACCTGCAAAGACCGCACTGCCCAAAGTATTCACACACCAAGGTTCTGGAAAGACACAATTGGAAGAGGTAGATACTATTCAACACACTACAGCCATCAAAAACAGGTTGACTTTCCCTGGCCAGTGTTGCTCAGTGGTTAGAATGTTGACCCACACACCAAAGGTTCAATTCCTGGTCAAGGGCATGTACCTGGGTTGCAGGTTCCATCTGCCTGCAGTACATTTGGGAGGCAATAATGTGTCTCACATCAATGCTTCTCTCTCTCTCTCTCTCTCTCTCTCTCTCTCTCTCTCTCTCTCTCTCTCTCTCTCTTTCTCTCTCTCTCTCTCTCTCACACACACACACACTCACACTCTGCCTCTTTCCCTCCCTCTTTCCCTCCCTCCTTTCCACTCTATAAAAATTAATAGAAAAAATATCCTTGATCCCAGCCGGCGTGGCTCAGTGATTGAGCATCAACCTATGAACCAGGAGGTCACAGTTCAATTCCCGGTCAGGGCATATGATTCCTAGTAGGGGGCGTGCAGGAGGCAGCCAATCAGTGATTCTCTCTCATCATTGATGTTTCTATCTCTCTTTCCCTCTCCCTTCCTCTCTGAAATCAATTTAAAAAAAAAAATTAATATATCCTCGGGTGAGGATTAACAACAAAAACAGGTGGACTCACCCTGACCAGTTTGGCTCAGTGGATAGAGCATCGGCCTGCGGACTGAAAGGTCCCAGGTTCGATTCCGGTCAAGGGCATGTACCTTGGTTGCAGGCACGTCCCCAGTGGGCGATGTGCAGGAGGCAGCTGATCGATGTATCTCTCTCATCAATGTTTCTAACTCTCTATCCCTCTCCCTTCCTCTCTGTAAAAAATCAATAAAAAATATATTTCAAAAACAAACAAACAAAAAAAACAGGTGGACTCCAAGGACCAAGGGGAAGAGAGAACTGAAGGGCAATGTGAGGTGTTTATAAGACAGGAAGGGACAATTCATCTCCTTCTACTCCAGTGGTTCTCAACCTGTGGGTCGCGACCCCTTCGGCGGTCGAACGACCCTTTCACAGAGGTCGCCTAAGACCATCCTGCATATCAGATATTTACATTACTATTCAAAACAGTAGCAACATTACAGTTATGAAGCAGCAACGAAAATAATTTTATGGTTGGGTCACAACATGAGGAACTGTATTTAAAGGGCCAGAAGGTTGAGAACCACTGTTCCTATTGGGCAGGTGAGCCATATGGTGTGGCCCCACTACTTGCCAGGGAGGCTGGGAAGATGGAGAGGAACACGTGGCTGTTTGGGGGACCCCCTCCTCTACTCCCACCATCTGGGTGCTTGCTGTGCCCCAGTGCCCAGCACTGAATCTGGTCTATAGCAGATACTCCAATGGAGGGTTGTTGAATGAGTGGAAGGTGAGCACGGAGAGTGAGCATGGGAAGGTGGAAAACAGGCAACTCCCTGGTCCGAGGGGCCTTTAGAGGCCACGGGAAGTTCCCTGCACTTGGGAGAACACAAGTCCTGCCCCTTGGCTGGGGCTTCCCCACATGGGGCGTGGTGAGTCCTTGGCAAATCATAATAGGCTCGGGCCACTGAGCTCCCAGCCTTGAAGTTCATTTCCACCCTGAGCGAGGCGCCTGCGCGGCGGAAGCCACCATGGAGATGGCGGAGGAAGGCTGTGCCCGCCGGCTGCGTCACCTGCTCATGGCGCCTGTTCTGCGGCTGGTTTTACCGCTGTCTTTTCTCGGCCTGATAATCTTCTGCGTCCTATGCTACCGGCTCCTGGCACAGCAGCAACTGCTCCAGCCACCTGAGGTAAATCAAGAATGAAGGAGATTCGCACCAGTCACCTTGGGGTCCTTTGGGGGTCCTTCGGGTGGCCCCCGGCTTGGCTTAGCGGGGTGTGGAGGGCAGATGGCTAACCCGGAAAAGAATCAGAGGCGTGGGGGGGGGGGGGGGGGAACCAGCTGGAGAGCAGACTGACAGAAAGATTACCAACAACAACAAAAAGAAAGAGCCAGAATGATGGTTCAAATCAGCCAGGAAAAGAAATCTGGTTGGGAAGAGACAGCAGGAGGTAGAGCCTGGAGCAGGGAGGTAAGGCTGACAGGGCTCCCGCTGGTCCTGCAGGAGGTAAATCCCGTGTGGGGATCCCACGGTGGTTGGCTGCAGCTGGGAAAGGTGCATGGGACCTGTCGCAGACAGTGAATGACTGGCTTCGGTGTTCCCCCAGCAGGCTGACTCAGAGGCTGCTGGGGGCTTCACAAAGCTGGAAGGGATGGTTGGGGTGGGGGACAGGCATGGACAGGAGGAACCCCACCTGTTCACCTAAGAGCCCAGGATACCCGCCACAGGGATGGCCTCGGGGGCTGGGCAGGGGGCTCTGCAATGGAGAGAGGTAGGTGTACATCCCACCCCACCTCAGCGTTATGTCCAGGAAAGTCAAGTTCTTAATGGCTTATTTCTTATGCTCCAGGTTAATTCTAACCTACTTCCTCTTCACGAGGTTGTGTATGTGTATGTGTTTTTATAAAATTCACAAGTCAGCCCCTTGAGATAAAGGGGGCAGAGCAGGGTGGGCAGTGCAAAGAGGGGCTCTGATTGCCCTGTTTTCTCTTTTCTTCCAGTGGGACATAGCTGAGCTCCAGCTGAACCACACAGGTGAAATGGGTAAACAGGGTAAAGTGTGAGTGTGTCTCTGTGTGAGTGCGTGTGTGTGTGTGTGTGAGAGAGAGAGAGAGAAAGAGAAAAAGAGAAAAAGGGAGAGCGAGAAGAAGGAAAGAAGGAGGGAGAGAGAGAGAACAAAAGAAAGGAAGGAAGGAAGGAAGGAAGGAAGGAAGGAAGGAAGGAAGGAAGGAAGGAAGGAAGGAAGGGAGGGAGGAAGGAAGGAAGGAAGGAAGGGAGAGAGAGAAAGAAAGATTCACACCAGGAGAAAGGGAAAGAAAGAAAATAGGGGAGAGAGAAATAATAAATAGAAAGGGAGAGGAAGAAAAAAACGAGAACGAGAATGAAAGAGAAAGAGAGAGAGACAGGGGAGTGTGATCCTGGGTGTGTGCTGCCTTACTCTTTCCGTCTGTCCTTCACATTTTATCTTCTGCCGTGAGAGAGCCCAAAACAACTAAAACCCACTAATAGCAATTGCTAGCATTCCTCCCTTCGTTCCACAAATAGCTGAGCACCTGCTGTGAGCCAGGCACTGTTCTGGGTGCCACCATAAGGAAGAGAACAGACAAAAAAAGCCCTGCCTTTTCTTCTACTCCGGAAAAGGATGTAGCGTGCCAAGGAAAGCACATGTAGGATGTTTCAAAGAAAAATCAAGTGAGGGGATCAGGAGATGAGCGAGGGAGTTGTTAGGAGGTTTCCTCACACCCTCTCTGTAACCCTCCTCCTGCCAGCCCCGACATTTTGAGGGCTGTATTCATTTCATTTTGTGGTGCAGGAACCCCTGTTCCTTTTTGTTCAGGCCATTTGCTGTCCAGGCTATGATAAGAGCACACCACACACTTACATATTATTAGCTGTGTCCTCCCTCACCTGGTGGACTCTGGGGTCTCTCTCTATCTAAATCGGATATCATTGACATGTAACATATTAGTTCCGGGTGTACGCCATAATGATGCAATATTTGTGTATATTGTGATATGATCACCACAATAAGTCTAGTTAACATCCATCACCTCACATAGTTACCAGTTGTTTTTCTTGTGATGAGAACTTTTAAGATCTACTCTCTTAGCAATTTTTAAATAGACAATACAGTATTATTATATTAAAAACTAGAGGCCTGGTGCACAAATTCATGCACCAGTGAGGTCCCTCAGCCTGGTCTGTGGGATCGGGCCGAAACTGGCTCTCTGGCATCACCTGAGGGGTCCTGGATTGCAAGAGGGTGCAGGCCAAGCTGAGGGACCCCACCAGTGCGTGATCAGGTCCAGGGAGGGACACAGGAAATTGACCAACGAGGGAGGGACCGGACGACTGGACACTTAGCATATTAGGCTTTTATTATATAGGATATCTACATAGTTGCCATGCTGTAATAAGATTCCCAGGACATTTTTTTAATATATATTTTATTGATTTTTTTTTTTGATTTTTTTTTTTTTACAGAGAGGAAGGGAGAGGGATAGAGAGTTAGAAACATCAATGAGAGAGAAGCATTGATCAGCTGCCTCCTGCACACCCCCTACTGGGGATGTGCCCACAACCAAGGTACATGCCCTTGACTGGAATCGAACCTGGGCCCCTTCAGTCCCCAGGCCGATGCTCTATCTAGTGAGCCAAACCGGCTAGGGCCCCAGGACATTTTTGTAATTGTAAGTTTGTACCTTTTAACTACCTTCCCTCATTTTGTACCCCCACCTCTGGTAACCACCAATTTATGAGTTCATTGGGTTTTTGTTTGTTTATTTTTAGATTCCATGTATAAGTGAGGTCGTATGATACTTGTCTTTGTCTGGCTCATTTTACTTAGTATAATGCCTTCAAGATCCATCCATGTTGTCTCAAATGACAGGATTTCCTTCTCTTTTATGGCATAATAATATTCATGTGTGTGTGTGTGTGTGTGTGTGTGTGTGTGTGTGTGTAAATATGTGTATATATGATGTTTTAATCTATTCATCCATCAATAAGGGCCCATTCAGGAAGGCTGTACCCTCATGACCTAATCACTCCCAAAGGCCCCACCTCCTAAAATCATAACCTTGAGGATTAGGTTTCAACATAAAAATTTTGGACATTCAGTTGACAGCCCTCAGTTTCCCTAAACTGCCGTCCTTCCATCCCCAACCCTCTGCCTCCAGGACTGCGGCAGGACCCCAGGCTGCACTGGCAGGGGGGCCCAGAGCTGGGCCGCTCCTTCCTGCATGGACCACAGCTGGACAACGGGCAGCTGCGTGTCCAGCGTGATGGCATCTATAGGCTGCACATCCAGGTGACACTAACCAACTGCTCCTCCTCGGTGAAGAACATGGTGTCCCGCAGGGCCATCCTGGCGGTGGGCATCTGCTCCCCAGTGGCGCGCAGCGTTAGCCTGCTTCGTCTCAACTTCCACCTCAGCTGCACTGTCTCCTCCCAGCGCTTGACATACCTGGCCCACGGGGACACCCTCTGCACCAACCTTACACTGCCTCTGCTGCCCTCCCAAAATTCTGATGAGACTTTTTTTGGGGTTCAGTGGGTGCACCACTGAATGCTATACCTCCTCACTCAGATTTTTGGGAGAGATTGTTTTTTCCGTTAACTGTTTAACACACTATTAAATATGATTTATAATAAAATATATGCTTCGTTGCAGGGTCCTTTCTTTCCTTAGCATTAACTATACTGTAAGGCCTCTTCATTATACAAACAGGTGGTGCCCCATCCTTCTAGGGCAGTGGTTCTCAACCTTGGCTGCACATTAGAATCACCTGGGAATCTTTTTAAAATCCTGATTCTAATGTGCAGCCAAGGTTGAGAACCACTGTTCTAGGGGCAAGCCCAGACACGGTTCAGCTTTCTTTCTAAAGATGTCATCTGGGCTTTCAGGGTTAAATATAGGTGGAAACTAACACAGGAAACATGCTGTCATATTTGGGTTCTTGCTCAATGTCAGTGTTTATTCTATTGATTTTTGGTCTAACGGTTTTTTAAAAAAAAAAAAGCACGTTGCAGGGGCACCAGAGCAGCAGCTTTTCATTGACTGTAGGTGGCACTTGGGGGTTTTTGTTTTGTTTTGTTTTGTTTTGTTTTAAATAAACTATGAATGAATGTCTTTCTTCCTGCTCTGCAAATTGAGATAGATGGTATTTTCACATTTCCCCCTTCATATCAAGAGCTTTCTTTGAAAACATTCCTGATCAGTGTCTGGGTACTTATTTACTTTTTTTTTTTTTTTTTTTTTAAAGTGCTTTTTTTCCTTTCTGTGTCCCTCAGAGCCAGGAAGGACCTTTCCCAAGAATCATGCCCAGGGGGTGATTGGCAACCATAGAGGCCACATTGAAGCAACAAGGAAGGTAGAAGAAGGAGCTTTGGGGCATTTTCTAGTTTAAGTTTGTATTTTGTCTAAGTGTAAGCACTGAAAGTCATCTTGAAGCACTGGGCTATCATCACTCTATTTTTTAATTTTTATTTTTCAATCCTCACCCGAGGATACTTTTTCCATCTATTTATTTATTTATTTTTAGAGAGAGAGTGGAAGAGAGAGGAAAACACAGAAACAGCGAAGCAAGAGAAACACATTGATTGGTTGCCTCCTGCACACGCTCCAACCAGGGCCTGGGCTGGGGAGGAACCTGCAACTGAGGTACATACGTATGTGCCCGTGACCGAAATCGAACCTGGGTCCCTTTAGTCCGCAGGCCAACACTCTATCTACTGAGCCAAACTGCCTAGGGCTACTTTATTTTTGTATCATGTTTGCAGAGACTCAAAGGTAATAAGTAAAATTTTTAAATGATTATGCAAAATAAAATTAAAAGCAATATGCCCATCTGGTGTGGCTCAGGAGGTCCTGGTTCAGTTCCATGTTGGGGCACATGCCCGTGTTGCAGGCTCGATCCCCAGTGGAGGCCATGCAGGATGCAGCTAATCAATGATTCTCTCTCATTGATGTTCCTATCTCTTCCTCCCTCTCCTTTCCTCTCTGAAATAAATAAAAAAATTATATTTAAAAAAATTGAAAGCAATCTGACAAATCCAGTTTGTATGATGATTCATTCTAAACCAAGATCTGAAGATTGCCAACTCAGCAAATCAAAGGACTATGGATAGTCAGGTGAAATTTGTTGTAACTGTCCACTGAAAAACAGAATCAACTAGGTATTCCGTCACCAAAAATGATTCACTGGGATGGAGGGATTGTAGTCTAGTGTGTGGGCAGACATGGTGAGCCGCCTGCACACACTGAGCTGGACAAAGATGGAGAAGTACTTAAAGAAGGAAGTTCAGGTTACAGCCAGAGTTTTGTTGTGAGCACAGAGTTCTTCCTGTACAGTTCTCCCCATAACACAGTGTGCGAACTCCTCCCCTAAGTCCTAGCCCCTCCCACAGACCCTCCTGACTTATGATGTCCAGCTTCAAGTCTCTGTCATAATTTTTATCATAACCAATGGGCTTGTTAATTTTATGTAGTTGAGTTTCTACTTCCCCAGAGGACTTTATCCAAATGCAACGAATAGCCCAGCCATCATGGCTCAGTGGTTGAGCATTGAACTATGAACTAGGAGGTCACGGTTCAATTCCAGGTCAGGGCACATGCCTGGATTGTGGACTCAATCCCCAATGTGGAGCGTGCAGGAGGCAGCTGATCCATGATTCTCTCTCATCATTGATGTTTCTATCACTCTCTCCCTCTCCCTTCCTTTCTGAAATCAAAAAAATATACTTTTAAAAATGCAACAAGTAGTGTTTGCATACACCTCCTTGTTCAGCAAGCAAATAAGAGCTATTCTGCTGTCTAGACACATTTTAGCTAAGAAGTCAAGTGATCTTGATTGGGTAGCCATTGCATTGGCAGTGGAATCAGCAATGTCTCCCAATGTCAAAGAGAGGTTTCTGTGCATATGTTCTTTGCACAGGAGGGGAAAATGCCCTTTCAAGGAGATAGGAGATAGAATCATGTTTTTCCTGGAAGTTCTCTCTCTTTCATCAATGTTTCTAACCTCTCCCTTCCTTTCTCTCTAAAATCAATAAAAATGTATTAAACATTTTTTATTGGTGAACACAGGGCTGCCTCATCTATTTATATAAAAACCCTGGGTGTAACATCACAACCGAGGCTCGACCAACTGGAAGGAAGTCAGTCCTGCAGAGGTCTTCTTGGAAATGGCTGCACGCTCCCCCGAGCTGTTTCCTGCAAGGGCAGCAAGGTTTGAGGCAGGAAACTGCCCTCGGAGCATGGCTGCACTGAGTCCTGGGTCCTTTTAGCTACAGCTGCGCACTCCCCGAGCTGTTTCCAGTAAGGGCGAGGTTTGAGGCAAGAACCAGCCCTCGGAGTGTGGCCACACTTAGTCCTGGGTCCTCTTAGCTACAGCTGCACACTTCCTGAGCTGCTTCCCAGGAAGGCGAGGTTTGAGGCAGGAACCGGCCCTTGGAGCAGGGAGGCATATCTTTATAAAGTTTTAATACATTATATTAGAGGTCATGGTACTACTGTTTTTACCCACAACGTCTACAGGAATTGCTGCAAATTTACTTCTCGGTGGAAGCACCTTTCATTCCCAACATAAATTACCCATTCCACTAAATGAAACTTCAATTTCTAGACTCAATATAAGCAGTGAAGTTGCTAAAACTATTAAAAAGGCCCAACTTCTCATTATTGATGAATGCACCATGGCATCCAGTCATGCTATAAATGCCATAGACAGATTACTAAGAGAAATTTGAATGTTGTATTTGGTGGGAAAGTTCTCCTTCTTGGAGGGGATTTTTAACAATGTCTCAGTATTGTACCACATGCTATGGGATCAGCCATAGTACAAACGGGTTTAAAGTACTGCAATGTTTGGGGATGTTTCAGAAAGTTGTCTCTTACACAAATATGAGATCAGAGGATTCTGCTTATAGTGGATGGTTAGTAAAACTTGGAGATGGCAAACTTGATAGCAGTTTTCATTTACAAATGGATATTATTGAAATCCCCTTTGAAAGGATTTGTAATGGATCTATTATGGAAGCTACCTTTGGAAATACCATATCTATAGATAATATTAAAAATATATCTAAATGTGCAATTCTTTGTCCAAAAAATGAGCACATTCAAAAAGTAAATGAAGAAATTTTGGATATACTTGATGGAGATTTTCACGCATATTTGAGTGATGATTCCATTGATTCCACAGATGATACTGAAAAGGGAAATTTTGCCATTGAATTTCTTAATAGTATTACTCCTTCAGGAATGCCATGTCATAAATTAAAATTGAAAGTGGGTGCAATCATCATGCTATCGAGAAATCTTAATAGTAAATGGGGTCTTTGTAATGGTACCAGATTTATTATCAAAAGATTATGATCTAACATTATCGAAGCTGAAATATTAGCAGGATCTGCAAAGGGAGAGGTTGTTCTGATTCCAAGAATTGATTTGTCCCCATCTGACACTGGCCTCCCATTTAAATTGATTTGACGACAATTTTCTGTGATGCCAGCATTTGTGATGACTATTAATAAATCACAAGGACAAACTCTAGACAGAGTAGGCATATTCCTACCTGAACCCGTTTTTGCACATGGTCAGTTATATGTTGCTTTCTCTCGAGTTCAAAGAGCGTGTGATGTTAAAGTTAAAGTTCTAAATACTTCATCACAAGGGAAATTAGTCAAGCACTCTGAAAGTGTTTCACGCTCTTAATGTGGTGTACAGGGAGATATTAGAATAAGTTGAGACTGTGAGAACCAAGATGGCGGCATAGGTTAACGCCAGAGTTTGCTGCTTTGAACAACTACTTCAAAAGTGAAACCAAAAAACAGAAGGGACAGCACCCAGAACCACAGGAACGCCGGCTGAGTGGAAGTCCTACAACTAGGAGGAAAGAGAAACGCATACGGACACTCAGAGGAGGCGCAGTGCTGAAGTCAAATTCTGAGGTGCGGAGTGCGCTGAGCGGGCTGGCGGTGGAGGGCGCCGTTGGCGTTTTCAATAGGGAGGGAGTCCCAGTCTCTGAGCTCCAGATCCCGGCGAGTCTTTAGGGACCCAGACTCAAACGGGAGAAGCGGGACTGTCTGGCTTAGGTCAGAGCGAGTGCAGCTTTCTCTCTGAGCTTTGCAGCGGGTGCTGGGACTCAGAGAGGCAGAGCCCCTGGGGACAGGACGGAGAGCGGCCATAACTGCTCTCTCCGGCCCACCCTGTTGATCCTGTGCGACCCGCCCCACCCAAGCCCTGCACACAGGCATTTGCCGGATAGCCTCAGGCAAAGGCTAGATTAGCACCTCCCTAGAGGACAGAAGTTCTCTCACTGCTGACACAGCTGATTCTCATAGCCACTTGGCCTGGAGGTCAAACCCTCCCTGGAATTAGCTACAACAATCAAGATTTAACTATAAGACTGCGAACAAAAACCACTAGGGGGTGCACCAAGGAAGCATAACAAAATGCGGAGACAAAGAAACAGGACAAAATTGTCAATGGAAGATATAGAGTTCAGAACCACACTTTTAAGGTCTCTCAAGAACTGTTTAGAAGCCGCTGATAAACTTAATGAGATCTACAAGAAAACTAATGAGACCCTCGATCTTATATTGGGGA